CTTTCTGGTGCTCTCTCTCTCTCTCTCTCTCTCTCTCTCTCTCTCTCTCTCTCTCTCTCTCTCTCTTCTTGTCTCTCTCTTCCCCTGTGTGTTTCTCTGTTACTTCAAGGAGGGAAATAGTATTGGCAAACGTCACGCAGAGAGAGGGGCAATATTGTCTTTCTATCTGTCTGTCTGCCGGTCTCTTTCCTCTCTCCTGCGAATCTGTCTGTCTGTCTGTCTGTCTGGCGGTCTTTCTCCTCTCTCCTGTCTCCCTCTCCTGTCTCTCTCTCTGCGCCCTCTCGCGTTCCAGCCTCTCTCTCTCTCTCTCTCTCTCTCTCTCTCTCTCTCTCTCTCTCTTTCTCTCTCTCTCTCTCTTTTTTTTTCTCTCTCTCTCTCTCTCTCCCTTTCTCTTTCCCATTGTCTGCCCGTCCTTCTCTGCTTACATTATGAAAAACAGTTGTTCTTAGGCAGGTAATGCGTACAGAGGTGGCATTATATGTCCCCTCTCTCCCTCTTTTTTCTTGTTCTTCTGGCAAGTGATGAGTAACGATGACTACCTTGCAAAAATTAAATGACATACGGTTCTCTGTAAATGTATAAAGTGAATAATTAAGTAGCTATTTATTATTATTTGCTATTATAATTCTGATCAATAATCATAAATATCATATATTGATTCTATAAAATATTTATTCATTGTAAGTCAGATTAGAATTGCCTGGATCTGCTCGTTTGTCTTCTAGCGCTAATCATTGTCTCCACGTTTTTCAGATTCCTGCCCGTGCACTCCCTACTAGTCTCTTCACTTCCTCACCGTTGTTCTCTACTGTCTCCTTCTCTTCGATATCTCTATTCTCCTCGGTTCTCTTCATTCCCTCATTTTCTCATTTTTTTCATTGTCCCCATATGTTTGCCCGCTTTCTTCTCGATTTCCGTTAAATTCTTGCTAGCATTTGGAATCATTGAACTTGAAACCTCCGACGGAAGTGGGGGCTGGATTATTCGCGCTGTAAAGGGAGGAGGGTGGAATGAGGCCGCACTCAGGCAGCTCTCGGGCGCGATCTGTGTTCTCGGTGGAATTTACATTTTTCCACTCTGGGGATGGTGGTAGTCGTCGCCCAAGCTTCCTGCTTTCCGGCATGGGCATGTTTGTCGTTCGCGCGCACAATCTCGCGCCTCGGTGTGTGTTTGCGGCTGTGAGAAGACAGAGAGTGAAAGAGATGGACAGAGAATGAGAGAGATGGAGGAAGAGAGACAGAGGGAGCGAGGCCAAGACAGAGTCGCTTATCTCTGATGAGCTTGGCGTTGATCACTCCAAGGCACTCTGTGTGTGTTTGTTTGTGTGTGTGTGTGTGTGTGTGTGTGTGTGTGTGTTGTCATGTTCGCTATACACAACTTTGAGACTTGAAAACCACGTTTGGGGCGCGCTCTTCGCAGTCGCCAGCGTAAAGAGAGGGAAGGACTATGGAGAGGAAGCGAGGAAGAAGGAGTGAGGGACAAAGGGACGGAGGAAGTGTGTAAGAAATCTGACAGAGGTGGGGCAGGGCAGTGACCGTAACAACAGGCAAAGGAGCGGGAACAGGTGCAGAAAAACGAAACCGAGAGCTCGTGCTAGAGAGGTGGGGAAGAAAGGCGAAGAACATGGATAGATCGGAATCGTAGTCATGCGTGAGCGAGCGGTGAGAAGTGTTGCCATGACGGCTGGAGGAGCAGAAAAGGTCCTTGACAAGAAAAGTGGGGGGAGAGGGGGGCAAGGGAGAAGGGGCGAGAAGGCGAGAGAAGGGTGGGGGCAAAAGCGGAGGAAGCTTGACCACGGAAACAAGGCAGCGGAAAGATCGGAGGGCAGCGCGTTTGAGAAAGAGACCCGGGCATACGGGTTTGTGTTTGAAAATGAAAAAATGCGCGCGAGAGAAAGAGTGAGAAACAGGATTGGCTACTTGATTAAGAAATCATTCACACATACATTCAATCAATCATCGGGCCAGCCAATCCTGCGTCCAATGAAGCGATCGGCAGAAAAGAGAAACCAGCGAAGCGATCAAGCAAGGAATGAAGCATGCAATCAAATAGTGAAACAACGAAACAATAAACCAATCAAGCAACGAGTCAAGCAACGAGTCAAGCAACCAATCAAGCACACAATAAAAAACGCAATCAAGCACGCAATCAAACAATGAATAAAGCAATAAATAAAGCAGGCGATCAACCAGGCAATACAATCATGGCGTACCTTATTTCCTTTGACAACTGATACTCAAGTCTTTCGAGGCTTCTCCACTGCTTGTTTTTCCCCTGAAGACTGTGTGTGTGTGTGTGTGTGAGAGAGAGAGAGTCAGAGAGACAGCAAGAGAGAGAGAGAGAGAGAGAGAGAGAGAGAGAGAGAGAGAGAGAGAGAGAGAGA